AAGGTTAATTGTGAATGCCATTTTATAATCATTCACATCTAATCAATTAGCTTTTATGGTTGTTGTGCTTAATACGTGGAGTTCAGCTTTGCATTTAACACACTCCTAAACTATCTGTAATTCCTCTCTAAGCTTCTTCTTTTCCTACAATTACTCGGTTTCCTTTTGTACTCCTTCACCACAACATTTATTCTGTGCATGTTGTTTCCTCTCACACAGTCCAGTAGGCTTATGGTACACTGTTTTAGTAAAGCCTGTTTCTTGTGCTTGGAAAAGCTGCAAACAAATGGCATATTTCTTATGTTGGGAAGAATGAATGTGGAATATCACATCAATCTCTAAGTACAGAACTTCTCAAGTGTTCTCCTTTTCACTGGAAATATATGTGGCATGATATAGAGAGACTGCAGATTGAGGGTGGTTATTGAACAGTGCATAAATAGCTGTTGGGAGAAAATTATATCATGACAGCATCTTGTGATGTACTTTGTGCAGTTAAATGGTCACACTGCAATGCTGGCTAAAGTTGAGGACTTTCTTCTGGAACATGAAGTTTCTATTAAAAAACCCCAAGCACTTTGAATAATTGCTAACAATAACCTGGACTATAGTACTTCAATTGTACAGTTCAGGAACATTAAACCTCTTAACCTTTGAGTTGCCTACTTGATTTTAAATGAATATGGTACTTAAGATGATAACAACTGCGCAGCTTCATTCTTTATTAAGGACACACATGATTTCTCCCTTGCACATTAACACTCTCATTATAATAATAAAGAATGGCAAAAATACAGGTATCAAAAGATTATTAGTACCTTCTAGACACAGTCTTTTCACAGTTCCTGTTTCCAGAACTACACCACTCTAATTAGCGTAACAACTATTGCTACATTCAGAGTGTCAACAGTAACATTTGATGACACAGAAACCTTGAAGAGACTCATTTCATCCGTTGTTCTGTCAAGACTTTGTTTGAAAAATCTGGTTTATATCTGCTCTTCCCCTGTGTTTCTTCTAGAGTGTGCAGAGAAAAGCAACAACAATAGCAACCATTCTTGGGGTTAAGGTGAATCCAACTATATATCATGGAGAAAAATCTGCTTTCTTCCAGAACACCAATGCACAAACATACTGCATCCAACGTGAACCATTCTGATGAGGTTAGATGTATTTGCATGGTAAAAGGATCTCCACATCAAAATGTAGATGCCACACAAAACAAAAGACAGGCCAAGAAGAAAAACATGTTTTGCTAACAACAATAAAGGCAGTTTAGCTTCTAGTAATGGATGAGATACAGCATTTTGTCCAGATTCAGCTAACTCTAAATATAAAGTGTAGCATTCCTACCATGGGACTTAAATAGATGCTGGCTGCATGAATCAAAACCTGAAGAACTTTTGAGAAGGGTGCCCAGCTGGACTGCCCCAAGCCTCAGCAAGGGGGAAGGAGGGAAGGCAAATCACAGACACACAACGAGCTCTCAGGGCAGCCAGGCTGTGGTAGCCCATAGAGTGTTGTCAGGGAAGCACTGATGCAGCTGTGAGAGAGGAACTGAGCAGGGCTGAGCTCCCATGAAGGGCTCTGGCTTCTATCCACATCTATCTGCATGCCCAGGGCTAAGAGAGTGCAGGAGGCACTGCTTCTGGCCCTCAAATGGGCAGCAGTCTGCAACAGGGTGCCTGTATCCTGTAGGATAACCCCAAATCTGAAACAGAAGGCAATTTTCTCCAAAATGAAAATAATTTTAACTTAAAAAGACTCGAGATGTTCTTACCACAAGAAAGATTTGATGAGCAGGCACAGACCAGATTAATTACTCTGCTTGCAGCAATTCTATGCATCAAGGTATAGAGGGAGGAAAAGAACCACTTGTGTTTTTACATAAACACAGTGTAAGAGTTTAGCTCACCCTCAGGATATGATCGAGTCTGACAGTCACATTCTAGCCATCCTTCTCTGTAACTGAAGGTAGTCTACAAGCGCAGAGGGTCTGATTTTTAACAGAGGACTAAATATGGCTCCATAATCCTCACTGGACAAGCTCAATAAACAGATTTTTTTTCTCTTCAGTTAGATCTCTCCTGGCTTTATCAGCTTCTTTCTTTTCAAGTCCACACTTCCTTCAGATCACTGTTCCAGTGTTTCAGATATTATCCTTATTTACATGCAGTGGATTTGGACTAGATTCACAAAAGTTTACTTACCTAGCACCACTTACCTGCCACTGTATTTCTCAGAACCACCATTTGCATTCCCATTGAGCTGCTGCATATGCCTGGAGGTGCCTATATCCCTGCCAGAAAAATTCCTAAATATCGCCCCTGAACTTGCCAAGGTCATAACAGTGTGAGCCTCCAAGCACCTAAATCACATCTAAGCTCTTTTGGGATTTGCAAACAAAGTGTTACCCCCTGCTTCCAGGCCTGACCTGACATGCATTTTCAGAGAACACCTTCCAGACCAGGCATTACAAAGTACAAAGCTCAGTAAGAAAAATGGTGGTGAATCTCTGGTTCAGAGCATCCATGCAGCATGTGTGGAATGAGGTTCCTCCCTTTTGAGCAAGGGGAGCCTGTCTGTTTTACAGGCTCTGATCTCAAGTAATTTCTGTGGTTGAAGGTATTCCTACTCTTGAAAATGCCCCAGTGGAAGAGCCAGTCAGGAGGTAATCATGGGGTCAAGTGGGGAGAAAAGTAGAAAAGAAATCAAGTGCAATCAACATGGATGAAAACTCTAGCAGTGGATTTACTGAACTGAAGTGAGAGCTATCCTCTTTCTCTGGCTGTTTTGCTCTGAGGGGAGAGGCATGAGACACACTGCTTAGCAACTGCAGAAGTCTGGCAGAGGAGATGGTTGCTCTTCATTCTCTTGGGAATGGTGAGAGGGGGAAAAAGTTTTCTCAGTCACTTCAGGACAGCTATGACAACTCAGGTTGCTGAGTACTGTCTGAAAGCATCCTCAGTATCTAAACCCTAACTCAAATTGTATTCTAAGTGGAATGAAGCAAGTTTCCAGAAGCTTAAAATCATCACAGGGCAGTTGAAAGGGCCTTGTATGCGTGTTGTGGCTTCCCCACTACTTTGACTGGATAACTGTCCCTCGGATTCTCTGCTTTATTTGTTAGGTTTGTTGTGCTGTGAAAGATGCAAAGACCAAGCTGTATGGCAACTGATCTCTGGAATTCAAGTAATAATTATTTTAATATTTATTAAAAAACATTCCAAGACAGTTCAGATCAATTATGGAAACAGCCAGTGTAAAACAAATTTGCACAATCAGGACAGATTTCATAATGCCCTCTGGACTCAACTAACTGGGAATAGAAATGTTTGAAAATTACTTCCAACCACATTAAAGATAGTGGCATTTGCGTCTGATGTGCTTGGGGATGATACCCATTGCTGTATCACATTACAGGATGCAGAACCTGAGCCACAGTGATCACTCCACAGCCCCAGATGGAGAAGAGCAAGAGGGCAGCCACAGCTTGCATAAACTGTAGAGGTTGTTCATCCTGAGTGCATTAACCAAGATTTTTCCAAACCCATCCACTATAACAATCAGTAGCACCTCTACTGAGGTAGAAATTTCTACTTTGTGTGAGATTCTACTTACACTGAAGTGAATGGAAAACTTTTTATCTTCCTTAGAATATTTAAAATTATTATTATTAGAATTATTAAAAATATATACTCAAAAATAGCTGTTCTGACTTTGATCAGAGACAACTCTACATGTTATGTGGTAAAATTCAAACGTAGCCTAGAAAAGTGAAACAGGTGAAACCATCTTACTGGTGAAACTACTATCAAAATTTTTCCAATTTCAACAAGGCTAAAGTCTCCCTCTTTATTTTGGTATGATACAACCATGTGACAGGGGCCATGAGAATTTATAATCATAGATGCTGTGACTGAAAGGTCATTCAGTCTCTTCTCCTAAATACTAAATAATTTATTCCTTAGTGATGCCAGAAATGAATTGCAGCTCGTACTGAATTCAATTATCTGACTAAAAAGGCAATGAGAATGTAAGGACATGCAAGCAACCTTCACCATTTATTTCCAGGTGATTTCCTGAAAGTAGTCACAGCTTGATCCTTCTGTGAGGTCCCATAACTCCCTTCTCAGAGAAGATGTATTTAAAGTAATCATCCATTTATGCCATTTATACCTGGCAGATAACTGAACACTGAGCACCATTTTAGATTTGTCTGATAAAAAATTTGAGAGTGGTTTCTGTGAAAATAGGATTTCAATGATATTTTGGGAGAAACACTCTGCTTACACTGTCTCTCTAATTTAGATGATAAATTTCTACTAACAGACCATGAAAGAGTCGTGTGTGAGGCTTTCCTGTCAGATCCTTTAAAAATGGCTGGGGGAGGGTGTCAATTAAAAAAAACTTTTTTCTCATTTTGCACCAAGGTTCCCACATAGCCACAGAAATCAACAGGAGGATTACAGCAGCACAACCAGGAGAGATGCAATCGTGAATCAGACCCTGAGCTAACAGCCTATTTTAATTCATGTTCAAACTGTGTTAATTGGCAAAAGATAAAACATCCACACTGTTTGTTTTGCTGCTGTAAGGAGTTTGTGTTGAAAACCGTGACTAAATAATAATTAACAGGCTTCAAGTAATCAATCAATAGTATTTCATGAAAATGAGTTGTAAACTAGAGTCTTGGACTCGGCTTTAAAGTTGGTAGGTGGGTTTTTTTTTATTTGGGTGGGTTTTTTGTTTTTTTAGGACAGCAGTGGTGCAAAGCTGAAACTAAATCCAGGCTTGCACTTCATTAGCAATTCCTTATTGTGGTTTTACAATGTTAAATTTGTACAAACAGATTAAGTGTGTTTTTTAAGCTGTTCCTAAATAGCCTGGGAACTAAGAATTAAGTGCAGATTCAGCCCAACCCCTCAAAACCCAACACACCCTTCTCCAAGCCCAACACCTGCTGTTAAAAATACATCACACAATGGCTCTGATCTTACCTACCAGCAGATGTGAAGATGCCCAGAGGTCTCTCAGATGTTTGTGTTCCTGGGTCACGTGAGGGCACCAGGAAGGGGAGGGAAAATTATTCTGGAATTCCAGAGGTCACCGCTGGACAAAAATAGTGAAAATTGCACTCATGTAGAGAAAAACAAAAGGTTCAGAAATCTGGAAATTTGGCCAAGAAGCTTTACTGGGGCTAATGTTTCATCCCTGACTTAAAAAGAAAAGAAAGAAGAATACAGCAAAGAGATGAAAAATTACTATCAGAAGAAAAGACTCTTACGATGCTCTCTAGCCTCAAGCTGAAAAGAATTTAAAAGTTCTAGCTAAGTTAAGGGAAGGCAATCCCCTCTCCCAAGGTTTCTCTGGGTGACCTCTTAAACACTTCTCCCTGCATGTAGCTGATACATCTTTCAGGCTCTAATTAATATCACTAATAATCTGCTGCGTACTTTTGTTTTCAGAAGAATTTTATTTCCAGACTACCTGACTGTTTGGTATTTTCTTTATCTGTACATTTTTAGCCAGGGAAAGAGCTTAGAATTTTGCCTATTTCACTTGTGTGCTCATCCACATGGTAGATTTGATTCTAGGGAGATTATTCACACCAGACAGCCATTATTCAGAAAAAACTTTGTCTCTCACCCCACGGTGTTTATCATTTCCCCATATTAGCTCTTTGTGGGTCTGCATAATTTTCCTCCTGCAGAGAAAGGTCTCATGCAGTCCCTGCCAGAGGAAGCACTGTTTGAAAGGCTCTTGTACATATGTGGAGGAGAATGAAAGCCTGGGCCATGTACGCACAACACATGGCAGCACTAACAGTGCTCAGAGCTTCTCAAAATAATCAACTGAGCTGCAGTGACACAGCAAAATACATCATAATCACATCAATTATGCAATCACTATTTTGTGAAAACAAGCCTCTGGGATTTCTTTTTAAGTAATCAAAGAAATATCAGACGTGAAAACAATGAACCTTCCCATTACAAACAAGTAAGTTTCCGCTGGGGAAGGGAAAAAAGAAAATAAAAAGAGAGAACAAACTAACCCAGGCAGGCTGTAAAAGTGTCATATTCTGGCTTCAAGAATGTGACCAGCTTGTCGTCAGCCCCGGGAGAGGGCAAAGCCGCTCCGTGCCAGCTTGCCTATGCACCTCCCCATCTGTGGGTGCTGCACAGCCCCTGCGCTGGGATGCCACCAATGTGACACTTGGGCTCGGTGGGAGGAGGGAGCAGCACTGGTTCCCACAGCCGTGGATTTCACACCCGGCCCTCCTCTGCTGCCTCTCGGCACCGCACGAGCATCAGCGACTCGTAGTTCCTGCCGGGGGGAAGAGAGGAGCCTGAGTCCTGCATCTTGCATCCCGCAGCATCTTGCATCCCGCATCCAAGGGAGCCCGCGGTGTCTCTGCCTGTGCTGCACACACCACATCCCCGTCCCCGCAGCGGGATTTTGCCATGAGCTTGTGCATTTTGGTAAACGAAATTACCACGTGCAGTTTGGTAAACGCTTTGGCGAAGGCTGGCAAAAGCCCTCAGGAAATGCCCCCGGCACTGAGCCCCTACCGGGGTCCACAAACCCTCCTCCCGCCAGGCCCGTGCAAGGCTCCCAGGCCCTCCCGAGCAGGGCCGTGCAGGCCTGGGGGATGGGATACAGCTGCTGAAGCCGCAGCCTAGATCTGGCAGCAGCTTTGCTTTGGAAGGAACTATAAAGAAACACTTTGCCCTGCAGCTAAAAAGCCTGATAAAAATCTGTGAGCATGTGAATGGTGAGGGGAAAAAAGGGTCAGCTCAGTTCTCTCCCTGTGCTGTTGCCTTCCTCTCGAATTCTCAGATCAGCCCTGGTGCCTGTGGCCGCTCCGTGGGGCAGCCGGGTTCCCTCTTGTCTCCTCGTCTGAGGCAGACTCCGCTGGGAGCAGCCGGCCTGCTGGGCCTGAGGAGCCCGTGGTGCCCTGCGCCGCTGCAGCGGCACCCCGGCCTTCTCCACAGCCACTGTCCCACCTCAGAGACCAAAGGAGCGATGTCTCCCCGGCACAGGGCAGGGATGAAGCCGGCGCCATGCGGGGCTGAGGGTGCCGGGCCTGGGCTCCCGCCTGCCTGAGCGCCCCGCGAACCCCACCCCGATGGTGCACGCCGGGGTAATCCGGGCCCTCGGGGAAGGGATCTGGGAGCAGCGGGTAGCGGGGCCCAGCCTTGCTGACATCAAGCGTGAATAATTGGGCTTTAATGTGGCTGGAAGGTGGGAGGGGAGAAGGCGGCAAACACACCACCTTTTCGCTCGGGGCCAGGGCACGGACGTGCGCTGGTTCCTACCCTTTCCCTCCAGCCCTCCTTTCAACCTGGCTCTGGGGAGGCAGCCCTTCCCAAACCCTTTGCAAAAGGCTTTGAGCTCAAAGGAATCTCATAACTAAACTTGTTCCCCTGGCTCTCCCCGGAGGAGCCACCTTGACGTGGCTTCAGCCGCATGGGCGCTGCAAGGCAGCCGGGCTCCCACCTCATCCCGTCCCAGGGGGATGCTCTCCTTGGATTCCTCCAACGTGTGACCCTGTGCGGTCTGAAGGATTCTCTCACCTACTGCCATTACATTTCACTGGGGGATTGGGTGCTTCTGGCCAGCAAACCCCCTGTCTCTCTCCTCTGAGGAGAGGGGAATACCTATAGTACTCCTGATGTCACTTAAGGCACATGGTGTCTCTGATGGTACAGGGCATATTCCCTGTCACCATCACCTGCAGCACCCCCACTCTCCTGGAGTGATTCAGTTTATGTTCAGCAGAACAAGTTCTTCACAGCCATGTTAAAAGTGGGCAAGTGAGATATCCAAATTAAAAAAAATATTAGGAATTGAAAAAAATAATTGTCCTTTCTGTTAGCTCATGTAGATAAATTAAGGTGGTGGAAACCTGCCAAATCAGCTTTGCCACTAGAGGAAAATACTACATGTAGCTACCCTTTCCAGTAGAGCTTGTTCCTGTGAAAAACAAGGTTAGTAACATGACTGTATAAGAAAGCATTTTGTCTGACTTTGTATTAAATGTTCCACCTGAAGAGACTTCCAGTTAAGTACAAAGGAAATATTTCATATTGCACCCCCATCAATGCTTCCTCTCCCTCTGCTTCCAGCCTACCTACTTCTGTTCCTCATTTTTATTCTCATTTTCTCCTCTCATTTTCTTCTACCTTGTGTGTTGCCAAAGTTACTTACCTCCCTTTTCCACAGACCAACTATGAAGACTTGGCCCTATGGATTCCAATATATTAATGGGCCAGCCAAAGACAAGCAAACCGATACAAAGAAACCCATTGATCTCAGTTTTTTTACTTGCACTTCCCTACAAATCCAGTTATAGGGCTGCTTTTTTTTGTGAGATTCTTTCAATGTGTCTACATTTCTCCATCTCTGAAGCATGATGTTGGTGGGCACATGAAGAGGTGGGTTTTCATGTTCTTGCATTTGAATTTCAAGACTTTTCAGTCTTGCTATGGAGTAGGGTGCAAGAAATCGCCCAGTAATTATCTCTTCAGATTGTGTTTAAATACAATAATAACTTAAATAACAAAAAAAAATTAAACACAATAATACATCAAATAGAAAACATACAGATTAATTCTGTATGTGGAGGGTACTCCAGCTGGGTGCTAAGCATAAACCATTGCTACTGATCCCAGTGGAATTCTTTGCATACTCAATCCTGCACAGGATATATCCTAATCACATGTTAAGTAAAAACTAATACATGTGAGGGAATCACCCCTTCCTAAATATTTCTTGTAAAAACTTACCAAAACAGCAAATCAAATGCACCTTTGACTAAATTGCTTTAACCTAATAGCAAATCAGAGCTTTTGAGTTATGGTTTTGAAGTAGAAAAAATAGAAAGCTGATTTTGCAGAATGGAGGAGAAACGAGACGTATTGTATACAGCACACAGTGTGAAGACCAGGTAATGAATCCAGGTAACCTGAAAGGAAAGGAAAATGAGTGCCTTATGTACAAATGCTTCTCATCATTATTTCATTTACTGTAATTCTGTGTATATACAGTCATATTTCTGCAGTTCAAATTTCTGAGAGTAATTCTAAGGAAAATGGCAATAAATTAAGATGCAGTTATTAAAAGAACTGGATCTACAGTTTGCAGTCAGTATTTAGTGCTCTGAAATATCTAGATATCCAAAGAAGCAGGGGACAAACTATAATAAGTTTCAGGGAAATAGTCTGGAATTTATCTGGCAACTTTCAGTTTCTGGAAATTCTGCTTCTGATTTGAGTAACAGTAGAAGACAAACAAATATGGAAGCACTGTTTCCAAGCCTGATGCATACTTGCAGAGCAAGGTTGAAGGAGCAGGTAGGGCATTGGATTAAGACTCAGAAGACCTAGGAGAGAATTTCAGCTCTGTACCAAACTTCTTTGATAACGGTGAGGAAACCCTTTAACCCCACCCTGGCTCACTTCTGCACCAGTAGCACAGTCTGGACTGCAGAATTTTCTGACCTTTTGTAAGCAAACTTCTCCATGTCCACAAAACATCCCTCTATATCAGAGTTGCCAGGTACTAGTGCAAGGATAGCTCAGATTTTGCATGCACACATACTTTGCATAAAGAAAATGCAAGTGCAGGTGTAGAGCATGGGAGATAAAAACACTGGGATGCAAATTCTATTACCTTCCCAGTACAGCACGTGTGCACTCATACTACATGATCCACTGCAGCCACCTCTTCACTCTGATTCAGCCTGAAAAAGCCCTGAAAAAGAAAATTTTATGCTCAGTGTTAAAATAGTGCCAATGATGTCATTTAAAATGTGTAAAGGCATCGGTATAGTCTTAACCAACACCTTGCCAACACAATAAAAATAGAGAGAACAAGAAGTGGACCAGATTCAAAGGGGTTTTTTTCTGTGGTCTTTTTAAAGAAAAGGGCAAGGAGGGGGAGAAAGAAAGGTCCAAGTTGAATAAATGTAAATGTATGAATGAGACAGTTCTAAGCATACCCAGGTGTCTTGCCAGCTCACTGCAGAGAGGTCACAGAGAAATAGAATGTCTAATCATTGGAATAAACACAGCTGTGCATACTTACATTTTCCATACCTATTTTGCTAGTGGGGGAAAAAAAACCATTCCTCAGATCAGAAGATCTTTTCCCAGCCACTTCTAGCTCCCCATTTTTTTTTTTTTAATTTTTTTTTTCTTAAGAAGTGTTTTGGGGTTTTAATTTTTTTATTTGATTATTTTAATATTTGAGGGGAAAAAAATTAAGCTCTTCCTACTACAATTGGTTGTCCCCTTTCAGATTATTATTAGCATTTGGAATGTTTTTGCCTTCCAAACATCTTTGGCATTAAATTGTAGAGAATTGTGTGAAGACAATTTTTTCAGCATGGGATTTAACACTTGAGGAATTTTAAGGTAGAGAAAAAGGAGACTAAAAGGATTTTTGGACAGCAAATGCAAAACTGGAGGATTTTGTTTGAATAGAGCCAATGGTAAAAAAGAGCAGAAGTAAATTTGCTCAATGCAAGGCACACAAAATCCAGCAGGAGCAACTGAGGGTTATAATTTTTTAAAATTTCTACAAGCTGGAGAAGAATATTTGAAAACCTTTGAATTAATCATGAATATTTTGAATAGATATGTTGTTTCAAGATTTTGTACAAATCAAATGTGAACCAAGAAATCTGAATGTAAAAAACCAAACGTGCCTTTGGATAAATCAGCTGGTCAAATAACAGATATTAACTCTCCCTGGAAACCTTACCCCACTTGTACTTGCTTTTAAGGAATTCATTGTCACAGCATTTTGCAAAGAGAATTTATGACAGAGTAGAAAGGTTCCTTGCAAATTTAATTTGAATAACTGAAACTATTGTTGAAATGTGGCCAGAAACCTGCTTTTAGCATGTCTTTTGAAAACAAGGGGCTCTGCCACCAATTACTCTTGCAGTTACATGCAAAGTACATATGGATAAAACTTACAGATAGTGCTCTGTTGTTGAGAATTATAGAAACTGCTATCTTCATTTCCATAAGTATTCCACATTTTTCTCTGATTACTTTTGTTTTATAACTTGACCAAAAATATTGCTCTAAGCTGAAAATTTCTTTTAATTTATAGGATGGTGGAAAGAGCTCTGTTCTTTTATTAAAACAATCTTGAGTCGGTCATGGCTCAAAAATAAATTTTGTAAAATGAGATTTTACTGTTGTTTTAAGAATGTGATACATTTGCTACTTTGGCGTTTGAGCGAGGGAATGCATTTTCAGGGCTTGACGGTTGTCTGAAGTCTGATAATTTTCAGTCTCCCTGAACAGCTATTTTGTCTGTAGCAGGCAAATGTTCTTCATGAGACTGCTCCCACCCAGCTGAGAAACCACCACCCCTCTCCTAACCCATGGGATCTCCACACAGGCTGCTTTGCAGTCACAGAGGAGCAACTGAGTAAGAGGGAAAACTGGCACACTTAGCTCCCCTTGAAGCTGGACCTGGCTGACCTGCTACCTCTTTTAGTGTAGCAGACATTAATCAAGACAGCAGGATTAGATGGGAGCAATTTTGTTGCTGTGGCTTTCCATCTCTGGAAGTGCCCTTAGCGCTCTTTCCCGGAGAAGATGTGGGCATGGCAGAGAGATGGGTTGGACACAGGAGATCCAGGCAGAAACCTCTACTGAACTTCATAGCAAAATCAAATTATTATTATTTTTTTTCCTAGCAGAAGTGGAAACAAAAGGACAAGGAGTGAGGTCATTATGGCTAATTCTCTTCTAAATATCCAGGCCAATTCAGATAATGTTATAGCAAGGGCCATATTGAAGCAATTTTTAAGTAACCTTTCCCACCTGCTTTTGCACAACCTTATCACTGTTTTTCCAACACAAGAAAGCAAAACTTTTACCAGGCCTTCAAGCAGTGCACAGGGCTTGCAATGTGCTCCAACAGCAGATCCCTTGAGCGCTTTAAGCAAGTGAAGGGCTCTGCTTTGCCTTCTGAGGTAGAGCTTCATAGTTGTGAGCTGCACAGGTTTTAAAAAACATTTTTAAAAACCACACTGCTGGCAAAAAACCACATGAAGTGAAAACAACTCTTTAAAATGTATTTTTAAACAGTTTCCTTACACAGTGGAGTCCATTGAATATACAAATAGCTAGTTGTAAGTAACTGGGAGAATCAAAGCAGATCAACTGCTCGCAGGCAGGGGATATCCAAAGCCAAACTTTGATTAGGTGCATTTAAAACTTTGAAAATTTGCCAACTAGAGCCAGCTTTGTCATATCAATGGCCCAATGCAGCTGGTAATTCTGGAAGTCTAATTTGAGTCTGCTCTATAGTGAGAACAGGTCCAAACACTTTTACATTTTAGCAAGGGAGGATGAGGTGGGAGCTGAACTTCCTGAAACACTGCGACCAGGGGAGAGCTCAGGAGAGCAGTAAGAATGAGGTATCTGTGCAGCCTGCCATGTGGGGAAAACTTAAGGGACTAGGGAAGTTCAGACTGGTGAAAAGTTGAGTAAGAAAATACATCTAGATGTAGAAAGGAAGGGAGGGACCAATGAATCTTATTAATCTACAGGCCCTGAAGAATAAGCAATAGAGTTTGAATTACAAGTGTTACTATAATATGCAAAACATATTCTGTTACAAAGATTAAGAGGAGAAAATGTTGACAGAGCATGGGACCAAAGTGTAAAGGGCTTGATTTATTTTCTAGGCCTGATGTAGATTTCAATCATGTCTTCAGCTCTTTCATAACTGAAGGAGGTTCCAGGAGGATCAATGAGTTAATACGGATGTGTACAAGTCTTAGTAGAAATAGAGTTTAGGTCAAATTCAATTTTATACCCATATAACCAGAACTACAAAAACCCCTTCTTATTTCTTTACAGTAAAGGCCATATAAGAAACACATTATCATATAAACCATGTCTTCTGTACAACCTACTCGCAGGATATTCCTAGAAAGACAGCATTATCCAGGGTTATCAGA